GACAGAGAGAGAGAGAGAGAGAGAGAGAGAGACAGAGAGAGAGAGAGAGAGAGAGAGATAGACAGATATATGTATATGTATGAGCGTGTGTGTGTATGTATGTATTAGTGAGAGCGTGTGGACGTGTGCTAGTGTAAATACGTACGGATCGATTCATTTATCTATTCATCTGTCTCTTATTTTTATTTCTTTCACCCTGTTTTATTTTTTCAGACATTTCTTAAGCACACTTGATGTTCGAGGTCAAGTTCCACCATTTGCAATATTTCCAAAAAACTAGTTTTGCTCTATTCAGATATCAGATTTTTCTATATTCTCTTATCTTATAATTTTATCGTATAAGTTTATTATTATCATTATCATTGTTATCATCATTATTGTTATCATTATTATTATTATCATTATTATTATTGTTATTATTATTACTATTATTATTATTATCATCATCATTTTTATCGTCATTATTATTATTATTATTATTATTTTCATCATCATTATTATTATCATTATTATCCTTTTTATCATCATTATTATTATGATGATGATGATGATGATGATAAAGATGATGACTGATATTACTATCATTATAATAATAGTAATAATAATAATAGTTATTATTATTTATTTTCATTATTGTTATTATAACTTTTTATCATTATTATTGTTGTTTTTGTTGCTATTATCACTATCATTATTGATGTTATTGTTATTGTTACTGTCATTATTGTTATTATTATTGTTATTGTTATTATTATTATTATTATTATTATTGATAAAATTATTATTATTGTTATCATTATTATTATTATTATTGTTATCATCATCATCATTATCATTATCATTATCATTATTATTTTCCTTATTATTATCTCTATTAGTAGTCCTACTGACAATAATCTCTTTGCCATCATTGATCACCAAAGCATTATAGCGTTCAATGCCTATTGTGTAAAATGAGTTTGTAGAGTGTTACTGAGTGAAATCATAACTGTAAAATCTGAAACTAGTCGTAGTGAGACTCGTTTCGGAACGGAAAAAGAATGTCTTTTTAGAATTGGTAATGATAGGTTGATGATTTAGAAATAGATTGAATTGTGCTTTAGAAATGGTAGGAATGGCATAGATTGAAATTGATATAATGGTCTAATTAATCGATTTCCGCTCTTAAAATGGATTGAATGGGTAAGGGTCCTAGCTTTTTCAATGAGCGTCAGTGAAGCTTCTTTAGTGTACGGAGCATGGCTCGTTATTAAAGCTTCTCTTGTGTATGGAACATGGCTTGTTATTGAAGCTTCTCTAGTGTATGAAGCATGGCTAGTTAGTTCACCTGGGTTTTTGACTGATAACTTATATGAAACATGGTACGTTAGTGAAGCTTCTCTAGTGTACGAAGCATGGCTCGTTAGTTCACCTGGGATTTTGACCGATAACTCATATCAAATGAAATTAAATGCAAAGTTGATGGCGGAACGTAACTTTGTTTATATTCCGGGTGTGTTACTGGGTTGAATACAGTGATATTGGATGAATAAGGCAGAGTGTTGGTATCGCATTTAAAAGTAGATAGTTTGACTTGAAGATGGATGCAGTGGATAAGTGGATAGCTGTGGTGGAGTGTAGTTAATGTGGATTATTGTGGAGTTGCATATGAGAGTGACAACGATGCTAACAGTAAAAAGAGAGGGATAGAAGAGAAGAGAAGACGAGGGGGAGGAGAAGGGTGAAAGATGATACGAAGAAAAAAAAAGGGAAGGATATGAAAAAACTCAGAAGAGAGGAAGAAATAAGATAAAGATAATGGAAGCTAGGAAGGGGAAAGAAAGAAAACAGGATAAGAACGAAGAGAAAAGGAGGAGGAAGAGATAGTACAAGAAAGACACACTAGAAAACAGGAATAAGAAACAAACAAACAAAAAAAGCGATGAATAAAATGAAAGTAGAACGGCGAACAGAAGAGAAAAGAACAACAACAGATAAGATAAGCAAAAATACTATAAATCAAAATAAAACCAAAAAGGACGTAGGGAAGGGCGCCAGACAGGTGTTTCAGAAATGAGACCCAATGATAAACAGGATGACGTCACTGAAGGTGTGGGCGCGAGGGCGTGGGTGTTCATGAAGCAAAGGTGAGTGGCGGGGAGGGGGAAGGGGAGGGGGGTGTGGTTGATTCAGCGAGGGGGAGGGAAGGGGGCGGTGATGTAATTTTGAAGGCGGGAATGTGTATGTGTGCGTGTGTGTATGTGTGAGGTGGGGAGATTGTGTGCGTGTGTGAGTACGTACATGAGTGTGTATCTTTGCAGTGGTGTTTTTTTTTTATCCACACATATCCCTCGGACAAGAAATAAATCAGAACGAAAAGAATCTTTACAATTTTCCAACAACGTCGCTCCTCAGTCTCTCTGTAAGAGACGTTTCATTAACTTGTCCTATTTTCTCTAAGTCGAAATAGATTTCTCACTGCTTAGTTCACTTTACTATTAATCAAGGAAATCTCGCTATGTTACCAAACCTCTTTTTTTTTTTTACTTTTTTACATTTTCATTTCATTCCGTTAAGTTTTCTTCTTCTTCTTCTTCTTCTTCTTCTTCTTTTTTTTTTTTTTTTTTTTTTTTTAATTTGTTGGGAGAAGAAGAACCGCGAAAAGGAGTGACAAGAGTGACTCACTCACCCTTCACCCTCCCTCCTTCCCTCTTTCCCCAGCTGTCCAGAAGGGTGAGAGGGTGAGATGAGGGTGGGGCTGAGGGTGAGGGTGAGATTGGGGGTACGGGGGAGGGGGTGAGGGTGAGAGGTTGGAAGGGTGGGGGTGGGGGTGAGGGTGAGAGGTTGAGACGAGGGTGGGATGAGGGTGGGGTGAGGGTGGGTGGGGGGGTAGGGGTGAGGGTGAGAAGGGCATGGAGGAGGGGACGAAGAACCCTTCTGGCTGCGCTCATGGAAGGGATGAGAGGAGGAGACGACGATGACGAGGAGAAGGAGGAGGAGGAGGAGGAGGAGGAGGAGGAGGAAAAGGAGGAGGAGGAGGAAGAGGAGAAAGAAGAGGAGATGGAGGAGGAAGAGGAAGAGGAGAAGGAGAAGGAGGAGGAGGAGGAGGAGAAGGAGGAGGAGGAGGAGGAGGAGGAGGAGGAGGAGGAAAAGGAGGAGGAGGAGGAAGAGGAGAAAGAAGAGGAGATAGAGGAGGAGGAGGAAGAGGAGAAGGAGAAGGAGGAGGAGGAGGAGGAGGAAAAGAAGGAGGAGGAAGAGGAGGAGGAGATGGAGGAGGGGGAGGAAGAGGAGGAAGAGGAGAAGGAAGAGGAGGAGGAGGAGGAGGAGGAGGAGGAGGAGGAGGAGGAAAAGAAGGTGGAGGAGGAGGAGGAGGAAGAGGAGGAGGAGATGGAGGAGGGGAAGGAAGAGGAGGAAGAGGAGAAGGAGGAGGAGGAGGAGGAGGAGGAAGAGGAGGAGGATGAGGAGGAGGAAGAGGAAGAAGAGAAGGGGGAGGAAGAGGAGATGGAGGAGGGGGCAGAGGAAGAGGAGGAGGAGGAAGAAGAGGAAGAGAAGGAGGAGGAACAGGAGATGGAGGAGGGGGAGGGGGATCGGAAGGAGGAGTAAGAACAAGAATATGAAAATGAATAAAAAAAATGAAGAGGAAGAGCATGAGGAACGGGGGAGGAAGGGGAGGAAGAAGAGAAGAGGAGGAAGAAATTAAGGAAAAGGAGGGGAAACAGAAGATGAAGATCAGAGCGAAGTGAGAATATAAAAAAAACAACTCAAAACTAAAACAAAAACCTCCTCCAACCTCAAAAGAAGATAAACAAATAAATGAAGAAAGAAATAACTGAGAAAAAAAATACGCAACTAAAAGAAAAGATAAGAAATATAAAGAAAAATAGCAAGCCAAACAAGAAACCCCGTGCACAAGAAACGCGACGCTTCCTTCAGACACATTGCTCCCAAAACCTCTAAGCCTTTTCCTGCGCCGCAAGGAAGGAGAAAAGGAGGATGTGTGTGTCTATATATATATTTCTCCATGTTTCTGTCACTATTTTCTTTCGTTTTCTTTCCTTCTTTACCTTTTTTCTTCTTCTTGAATAACTTAGGCACAATGAATCTTTTTTTTCTTGTTGTATTCTGGTATAAGCGGTGCGTCTAGAGAGGGAACTGGCTTAAAACCTCGCTTTAACGTGGGGGGGGGGCTGGGAGGGAAGGAGGGGGGTCTTTCGGTCAGTGTATCTTACTTTACCTTGGTAGTGGAGGGTAGGGGGCTGGGGGGAGGGATAGTATAAAAGCAGGGGAGTCTAGTTCTTCTTTACACTTTCCAAGACATACAAAAACGCATGGTATAGAATGACAAATGATATATAATACAGATGTTCATAATCTCGATTTTACACCTAATATATAAACACATACTCTCATATCTATCTATCACACACACGCACACACACACACACCCATCCACACACACACCCATCTACACACACACACACACACACATCCACACACACACACACACACACACACACACACCTCACCTCCTCTCTCATATTCACTTCTTATCCCAGCAAGCCACGAGAAACAGGCATGCATGAGAGTCATGCACGGGAAAGTGGGTTAAGGTTTTCGCTAAGTGATGAGTTCAGCATGGAACGCGATCGCTTCGAAATGTCAGTCGTAACAGGGTAGAAGTCAACAACATGACATCTCATTATCAGTCAGAAGTTGGTCCAGTTTATAGACTGGACATCAAGCAATTTCGTAACTGTCTGTCTGTTGTTGTTAAAGTCAATAAGAATGAAGTGAGGTTGGAAAAGAAAGTTATTTTTTTTTTTACTTTTATTTTCCCTTTTATCCACCGAGGGGAAGCCGGCAGCTGCGTGGGCGTCTGAGAGGGCTTTTCACTGGCGGAGGGGAGACGAGGACGAAGGTCAGGACGCGGACTTAATTGATTTTTTAAGGAAGAGTATCAAAGATGAATCCGTCTTCTGATGTTCTTTTTTATTTCTTATTTGATTTTTTTTCAGAGAGATCCTTCCCAGCAGCAGACTATTGATTACGAATGGTGCATCCCGATATGAAGCGCGTGCAATGGGAGGCAAGTACGTGAGCTGGTGACGGCGACCCGGTCGACGCGCGGCTGGATCCGACAGGCCGTCGCGCCGCGTCGCCGCCGTCGCCATGCAGGGACATTACATTCACGACACGGAATACAGATAAGTGCGACGACAGCGCCATGTCGGACTCCGACAGCGAGGAGAGCCAGGGCTCGTGCGCGTGCAGCTGCGACGCGCGCTGCGTGCGGTCGCCGACGCCGACGTCCTCCCGCCGTGGCGCCGAGTCCACGTCGGGCTGCCCGTCGTCCGACTTCCTGCCCTCCGACCCCATCTCGGGCCAGGCCTCGCCCTCGGCCGACTTCCGCATCGCCGACTCGGGCGTGGTGGTTGGGCGGCCGTGGCGACGTCCCCCGCCACCCGCGACGCCGGACATGAAGGCGTCGCGGGAAGTCTCCGTGAAGCAGAAGCGCTCGCGGACGCCCCCCCGCGCCGCGCGGCCGCCGCGCTTCCCGGCGGCGACGTCCTCGGGCTGCCCGTCGCCGTCGCGCTCGGAGCGAAGCGGCTGGTGGGACGAGCAGCATCTGTCCCCCGTCAGCTGCGCCTCCGGCTACTGGGACGACGAGCAGCACCTGCGGGACTGGGACGACGACGACCCCCGCCACGACCGGGACGACGCCCACAGGATCTCGCCCGAGTCGGAGGGCTCGGGTGAGAGCGAGCGGCTGAGGGCGCTGTTCACGGCCTGCGACACCGACGGCGACGGCTACATCACCAGGTGAGTCTCGCCCGTCGGGAGCAGCTCTGATGCCAGCCAAGGCACGCGTTCAGCGGGGGATTTGTGTGCTCAGGGTCACGATTTTTCTCTCCTGCTTACTTTTGATCTCATTGTTCTTCTTGAGACGGACTTTTATTTTGTGAAATTAATACACTGAGTTTTCAGCATCGTCAATAAGTTGTGTTAAGCAGTAACGTCACTTGACAGTGATGTAGTTAAACCGGCTGCTGCAGATCGTAAGTCATGAAAATTTTAGAGCTGATTTCATTACCAATTCTCTTTTTCTTTTGTCATCATCAATATTTTTCTTACTCCTCCCCTTCCTCCTCTGCCTCCTTATAATCATCAACATCTGTTATTCCTCCTCCTCCTCCTCCTCCCCATCTTCTTCCACTTCTTCAAATCATTATTATTGCAATTATTAATATTATCACCGTGGTCTCCATAACGGCCTATGCAAGAATACCCAACCGGAAAATTCCTTGACGATCCCCAGGTATTCAGAGACTTCGGAGGTTCTTGTCAGTGAGCGATATATTTATCCTTTCCCTCAGGAGACATTCAACTGAAATGCGGCTGTCAATAGAGGGCCTTCCTTTTATGCATGTTTCAGCTAAGCGAGATGAAGGTCGGTGCCTCCACGTGTCGGATGATTAAAAATCCATTTTGTGATAAATATTATCGCCCGCGCCATTAATCTTAGGCCGCACACACAAGGAATGAGAGAGAGAGAGAGAGAGAGAGAGAGAGAGAGAGAGAGAGAGAGAGAGAGAGAGAGAGAGAGAGAGAGAGAGAGAGAGAGAGAGAGAGAGAGAGAGGGGGGGGCGGAGACAGCGAAAGAAAGAGGGAGATAAGGAGGGAGAGAAGCGGCACTGGAGAGAAAGTGGGAGTGGGGGGGAGGGAGAAAGAGATAGAGGAAGAGGAAGAGGGATGGGGCGGGAAGAGAGCTATAAACTGAGAGAGAGAGAGAGAGAGAGAGAGAGAGAGAGAGAGAGAGAGAGAGAGAGAGAGAGAGAGAGAGAGAGAGAGAGAGAGAGAGAGAGAGGAGAGGAGAAAGCGTGTTGCCTTCCAAAGTTTTAATTTAGCAAAGTGTTAATACCACATCCCTGTGATCCGCCTGCGCTTCATCCTCGTTCGGAAGGCTTGTTTTTTTTTATGTCGCGTTGTGTTCGAAGCCGATGCCACCAAACCCGTCAAAAAAAGAAAAACATCTTTTGTTCCCGTCCTGTTTGACAATCTTTTCTCCTGCCTTCCTCAGATATTTATATATGTTCTTCATTGTATTTGTTATGGGTTCTCGCTGCTCCTTTAGATAGCTTCATATCACATGTTCTTGCAGGTAAGTAATTAAAATCTCCTGCACTAGGAGGCAGTGATCTCTAAATAAAGCTGTTTTACGACAACTTACCTGTATTTTTTGTAATATATACGATTTCTACCATAATATCAACACGGTAGAATGTTTTACCATTCAAATATATATATATATATATATATATATATATATATATATATATATATATATATATATATATATATATATATATATATATATATATATATATATATACGCACACATATACATACATATATACATCATCAGCTTTCTCTAGTCTATAAGACACAATGCAGCCCTCTCTGTCCTTCCCTGAACTTTTCCATTTCCTCTCCCTTTTACCTTCTCAGTGCGAATATTGCATCTGTTGTGCTTCTTCCTAGCATACATCCAAACTGTACATCCCAGATTTCTACTGTTCTTCCCACTCTCTCTTTCAGCAATCTTTCCCAAATCTTCATTGTGTGACAAATTAACTTTATTCCTCTGCCACTGCCATCTCTCCTCAGTACCTCCTTATTTGTGTCGTGATGTTATCTGGACCTACAGCTTTACCACCTTTATCTTTCCCATGGCCTCTCCACATCCTCTCTGCTGATCTCCTGTACATCTTGATTACGAACTTCTGCGTCCTCCAGTCTTCTTTCTCTTGTATTTTCAACGTCCATAAGTTCCTCAAAATACTCCTTCCATCTGTTCAGGGTGTCCCCCTCGCCTGTCAAAATGCTTCCATTTTTCTTTATCACTTTTATATGCTGCACATCACTCTTATTTATGTCTCTTTGTGTGGCCGGTTTATAGCGATCTTCTACTTCGCATACGCATTTTCTTTGCAACTGCCTTCTCTGCCCTGCTGCACATATTTTTCTATTCCTTGATGCCTTTCTTCGTCCCCTTGTCTATCCCATTTCTTTTTCGCATCTTTCTTTCTACTTATGCTATCCTGCACTTCTTCATTCCACCACCAAGTCACTTTGTCTTCTTTCCTTCGCCCAAATGGCATGCCAAATACCTTCTGTGATTCCTTTCTCACTTTATCTGAGATCTCTGCCCAACCGACTTCTTCTCTTTCTGCCAAATCTTGCCTAACGTCTTACCTGAGAGCTATGCATAACTGTTCTTTTAAATTCCACCATTTGATCTTTGGTTCTGTCCCAAATTTCCTCCTCGACTTCACTTCAAACCTTGTTTTGCTAATCACCACCCTGTGTTGTTTTGCTACACTCTCTCCAGGTATAACTTTACAATCTTTCAGGTCGCATCTCCTACACAGAATCTGTCTGTGTACTCTTAACCCTCCCCCCCCTTATGTAGGTTACTTCTTTCTTCTTAAAATAGGTGTTCACTACCGCCATTTCCATCCATTTAGCAAAGTCGACAACCAGGTTTCTTTCTCCCACTCCATATCTGCCCATCACATGCTCATCACCATTATTTCCTTCTCCGACATGGCCATTGCAGTCTACTCCCACAACTATCCTTTCTGCTGCCGGTATGCTCTGAACCACTACCTCTACTTCTCTCCAGAATTCTTCCTTCTCCAAATCGCATCCTATTGTGGGGCGTACTTACTGATCACATTCAGTATCACCCCTTCATTACCCTACTCCATTGTCATTATTCTGTCACTAACCTCCGCTATGCTGTTAATGTACTTTTCTTTCACCACTACAGCCACGGCACTTCTCCTTCCATCCCTGCCATGACAGAATAACTTGAAGCCTCCTCCTCGCTGCATTTCCTTGCCACTTTGTCTCTTGCACACACAGTTCATCTATCTTTCTCCTCTTCATCATGGCAGCTATTCCTCTTCCTTTACCAGTCAGCGTGCCAACATTCAAGGATTCACCTTCCTAACTTTACTTATTTACCCTTTATTCTCTCCTCCCTCCTCTTTGCTTGCATTCCTCCTCTTCTTCTGCTCCTCCCAACAGACATAGACTGTCCACTGGCACTCTGCTAGGGAACAGTGCCAAAGGCAGTCATTGTTAACTCAGGCCGTGACCAATCCGGTGTGGTATTTCCATTCATGGTCCGCATCATTGTCTTGGCTTGTTTTACGCCAAATGTCATCCTGCCGCAACCCTCACATTTATCCTGGCTTGGTTGAGTTGAGCTGCATGGGCTTGTGCCCCCAGTGGCTAGGCCGTATATATATATGTATATATATATATATACACACACACACATATATAAACATACACACTCACACACATACACATATATATATATATATTTCTCCACATCATAATCATGGCTTGCTTTTATTCGGACTTTCTGCTGGATTATGGACTCCCATGTCGGTAGGCAATCGCAGTGAAGTTCCTTGCCCAGGGGAGCAACGCGCCGGCAAGTGACTCGAACTCTCGAACTCAGATTATCATGACAGTCTTTGAGTCCGATGCTCTAACCACTCTATCCACACACACACACACACACACACACACACACACACACACACACACACACACACACACACACACACACACACACACACACAGACATGCATGTGTGTGTGTGAGAGAGAGAGAGAAAGCGCGACTCCTTCTCAAAAGTCATTCTTGAACCAGACTCTGAACTTTGATCTTTTATTTAACCAGCGTGGGGAAGGCGACTTCAAAGAATCCTCTCGACTGCTGCTTACCATTTTGCTCGGTCGCCCGGAAGCAGTTGGAGCCAGTTGCGTTTTTCGATCTCTCTCGCTCTATTCCGCCTCTTTTTATTTTTTTTAAAATATTTATTTATTTGTTTTTTTTTTTCTCTTTTTTCTTTTTTTTCATGTTCTTTTTCATTCTTGTTCTTTTTTATATTCTTTTTAATTCTTTTTATTTTTTATTTTCTTAATCTGGGAAAATCTGGGAGTTTTTTGCATTATGTTGTTGGTATTGTTATCATCATCTTTATAACTGGCCTTAGTATTTCTATCCTTATTGTTATTACTATTGTTATTATTATTATTATTATTATTATTATTATCACTACTGTTGCTGATGTTATTATTATTATTGTTAATATTACGACTATTGTTATTAATAGTAATAGTAGTAGTTATCATTGTTATTTCTATTGTTATTATTATTATTATCATTATCATTATTATTATCATTAACATTATTATGTTTTGTCTTCGTAATAATTATCATTTTTATTATTATTATTATTATTATTATCATTATTATTATTATTATTAATAATATTATTATAACTATCATTAATAGCATTCTTATCACCCTTTTTATTATTTCCATTATTATCATCAATATCATTATAACTTTTCTAGCATTTCTAATTATATGATTCAATTTGATGTCTTCCTATGCATGCCTAAATAAACACACACACACACACACACACACACATACACACACACACACACACACACACACACATACACACATGTATATATATACATACAATGTATATACATATATATATATATATATATATATATATATATATATATATATATATATATATATATATATATATGTATATATATATATATATATATATATATATATATATATATATATATATATATATATACATATATATATAAAGAGAGAGATAGAGATAAATAAATAGATGGATAGAGAAAGAGAGAGAGAAAGCTTGACAGAAGGGAAAGAAAAGAGAGAAGAAAAGGAAGAAGAAATACCAAGAC